TCCCCTCCCTGGAGCTGATTCATATTGGCTATAATTGCATTTATATTTGTGGGCGTAAAGAAACATTACTGCCTTTTCTGGATGTGTGAATGGTGTCAAAATATCCTGCATCAAAATATCCAACCCAAGATCTGTCAGCACGCAGCAGAAAGTCTGGAAAGACATTCATTGTTTGGACTGTAGACAAGGTCCCATCAGCAGGGTGGTTCATCAGGCAGCAGGAGGCAAGGCAGCCCAGGGTCCTCCCACTTATACTCCTTAATTGCTTGTTCTGTCCCCGATCTTTCTCTGAAGGGCTGATACCCACCTCCCCTCTGTTGGCTGTCCATGCCTTCTTTATCCCAGGGCCCCTTTCAGCAAGGACCTTGACACCGAGCGGCAGCTTCTTCCTCTAAAATAACCACAGGCACTGGTTGTCCCAGACTTAGAAGTTTATAAATCTGTTTCACAATGTGTCTCATTCAATCTGCTCAATAATCCTCTGAGGGGGCCCTCCCACTGGGCACTAGAAGCGTAAGGTGACTTGCCCAAGGTCATGCAGCGGACAAATGACAGAACTAGGACTCGAACCAGGTCTCCTGACTCCAAACCCACGACCTTCCCACTGTCATAGGCTATCTCTGCAGGACAGCAGTGTGCACCTGCTTCAGCCTTGTGCAAATGGGCCCCTGGCCCTTGGCCTGTTAGGTCCGGGCCAGCTCACTTGGTGAGGACCCAGGACTAATGAGGCCAGGGGTCCAGGTGGGTCCAGAGCACTTCATTTTGTCCCCTAGCCACTCACGGGCCCTGTCCTACCCGTAGTTATAAGGTGTCCACACCTAGGCTGAAGCCCAGGGAAACTGATTCCAGTACTAGAATCGTCACCAGAAGCAACTGTGTTGCTGATGGGTGGTCAGTAGCATTGACCTTCTAGAAGTATGGCGCTTGTAGGACTCTGACCACAGCCATTGACTACACCCAATTCTTTCTTTTTTCCTTTCTTTTCTTTTCTTTTCTTTTTTCTTTTCTTTTCTTCCTTTCTTTTCTTTTTTCTTTTCTTCCTTTCTTTCCTTCCCTTCCTTCCCTTCCCTTCCCTTCCCTTCCCTTCCCTTCCCTTCCCTTC